AAACAAAATGAAACTCTCACAACTGAGGGAAACAGGATGATCCTACCACAAGGTCTGGCTCAACCATTTTCCCATGGCTCCCACTTCCTTAAGGGAGATGTAAGGATCAGGAGCAGGGATAGTTTGGGCTAAAAGTACCCCACAGACTCCAGCATGGGTAGAGCCTATGGCCACACCTTTCCTAGATGGGTAGCAGGGAGCATGGGATGAAACAGTGCCCTGAGTCTGAGGCCATAAAGACTTTGCCCTTAATCTTTTCCTGGGGAATAAATGATACCTGCCTCTGGAAAGCTCCTACACTTCCTGGTCAGGGCATTCAGACATCCTGCTACAGGGACTTGGTGCTGTACACAGTCTTTCCTTACTCCAGAGACAACAGAAAAAAGGAAAAGGGGCATCATACTAGGTATTGACACACAGGAGGGTTGCAAGTGACCTGGACAAATGGCGAAGGGCAGGGGCCAGCCCACAAAGAGTGTCTGCTCTGCTCTCACTCTGTTTCTAGTATGGGTTTCCCTTACGCTGTGACAGTGTACTTATGGGAAAGCACAGGGACCCAAAAGGCAAGGAGATGAGCAACCATTTCTCCAGAGAGCATTTTGTATGCTGGGTGACACACAGCCACAGTTCCAACAGCCTCATCCCTGAGATGGATGCAGGCAAGAGCAATATCCAGCAGAGTGGACCCAGCCATGAGAGAAGAGCCAGGACCTAAAGGTGGGGCTGAATATTGAGCCAGAGAGTGGTCCAATCACTTGAAGCTGAGAAGAATGCGACACACACCGGGGGCCCTGACCTCAGGCTGAGCTATGAGGTCATGACCGCTATTGGGTTCTCAGGACACCATGAGCAATGTTCTGTCATGTGGAGGACCTGGACATCGACGCTGTGCTCCTGCCAGGAAAAGTGCCACAAGATGGCTAAGCAATAGGCCAGGCAGAACACACAGAGGAGGACATTCTTTTCTCCTTCTGTCAATCAGTCTCCACAAGATGCAGTGAAACCTGCAGTGTAGACATCCAGATACCTCCCAGAACACCTCCCATGAGAAAGGGACAGCACACAGGAATGTCTCTCTGTTCCATGAGCGACGATTTTGTACATTGAAACCTCCCTCAGAGACTTCCCACAGGACCCTCACATGGAGTAATTCCTCCTGTTGCCACTCAGAGAATCTACATAGTGATTCCTGAAGAGCTGCCACAAGTAAGACCATTCAAGGCACCTACACAGACCTTCCATAGAGCCCTTGCATACAGATGACTCAGGGACACCCTGTGCCCCACAGGCTCTGATCCTGAACCTTCCACTGAATTTTCACCTGGGGCATTCTCACAGAGACCTGACAGGAAGATCTCCCACCAAGACCTCTCCCAGATACCTATGTAGAAGCCACACAGAGAAGTCCCTGCCCTCCCATGTAGGCCTCGCAGACCCCACACAGAAGCTTCCCAGAAGATCCCACAACATGTAATTGGAAAACTTACAGGGAATCTT